GTGTGACCCAGAACGAGTTCCTTCACATCTCCAGCCTCTGTGTCCACATCTGTGGAGTGGGGAGAATCACAATACCCCCTTCACAGTGTCCGGGAGGATGGAGCAAGATAACACAAGGAAGCTGAGACTCGTACCCGATGGCATCATGGTGGGAAGAGTGACCCTGCCCTATGTGACACTGAGACAGGGGCCCTGGGCCTAACCCATCCTGTGCCAGGTCCCATCACAGCTCAGAACATGGGGAAGACCCACTTCCTCCACCCACAGACTCATGTGCTCATTCACTCATTCTCTCACTGCTTCCTAAGATTCGGCACTGAAGATACAGCAGTGGGCCAGGCAGAACCCCTGGCCTTGGCGGGTGTCCATCCGAGCAGAGGAGAGCGACAGCAAACATGATAAAAGTGTGTAGGATGCAGCAGACCAGAAAGTGGAGAGGGCTGTGAAGAAAACAGGCAGGAGGGACCAGGGAGGTGATGGCTTGGGGGCTGCAGTGTTGGGACAGGGCCATCAGAGGAGCCTCACTGTGAAGGTGCTGTCTGAGCAGGGATGTCCCTGAACATTTGAGAAAAGCAAGGGCACCGTGCCAAGCCGGGGCTGGTGCCCAACCTGACTGCCCACCCACAGGTGAACTTCAATGAGCCCCTGTCCATGCTCCAGCGGCTGACAGAGGACCTGGAGTACCACCACCTGCTGGACAAGGCGGTGCACTGCACCAGCTCGGTGGAGCAGATGTGCCTGGTGGCTGCCTTCTCTGTGTCCTCCTACTCCACCACGGTGCACCGCATCGCCAAGCCCTTCAACCCCATGCTGGGGGAGACCTTTGAGCTGGACCGCCTCGATGACATGGGCCTGCGCTCCCTCTGTGAGCAGGTGAGCGGGCTAGGCTGGCGCTGGGTGGTGCCCGCCCACACTCTGGCCAAGCTGTTCCTGCCAGGCCCAAGGTGACAAATGGGATGCAGCCTCTGACCCCCACTGCCCATACCCAAGGGGCCATCGAGCTGAGGTCCAGCCAGGAAGCACGGCCTCCCATGGCAGGGGCAGCACAGGGCCTCCTGGAGACGGTGAGAGGCATGAGAACACAGCATGGTGAGGACAGGGTCAGGCCTGGTTGCAGAGACGGGGAGGATAAGCTCCAGGCCAGGATGCTGTGGAGCAGAGGTGGAGGGGCATCTGTGGGCACTGCTGGGGAGGAGCATGGGGTCACCACCGAGCTGAAGGCAGCTGGCAGGAGGAGCCTGGGTGCAGTGGGATGGACTCTGCCCCAGCCAGTGACAGCAGCCTGTCCCCGCCACCCCTTCCCCAGGGAGACATGCCAAGACCCAGGCCCAGGAGCCTCAGTGGCAGCCCCATGCTGAACCTGGGCGTCCTGGTTGAAAACGAGGTGATTCCGTTGGTGCCAGCGTTGCCCTGGCTCCTGGCATGAGCGTGGGACGCTGGCCATTCAGATCCTGGTGCTAGTTGAAGAGGCTGCAGCTGCGGCAAGGCCCTGTTAGGAGGTGACTGCAGTGACCCACGCAGGGGTGCAGTGGCCAGACCTGGGTGAAGGGGGAGGCCAGAACACTGGCAGCTTTTGAAGGATGAGCCAGCTGGTTTGCCGACGCTTTGGATATGGGGGTGGGGGGCAGTCAGGGTGATCCCAGGTCCTTAGCCTGAACCCTGGAGTGAATGTATTTCTCCATTCAGCAGATGTTAGATGCCCTCGACATGCCAAGTGCTGCTCAGGCATGGAGGTTTCAGCTGGGAAGTGAACAGACACGGCTCCAGTTCTCATGGGGCTGGGAAAGCAGGGCGGATACTGTGGCTGCTTCTAGCTCTTTTGGGTGGTCAAGGAGCAGCTTTACTGATGCAGAGAGAGTGAAGGGAGGAAAGGAAAGGAGGGTGGAGAAGCAGCAGCTGGAGCGGTGGTACACCTGGGGTGGGGCCTGCCTCCTGACCGGCCAGAGCCCTCTCCTGTGATGGAGGGAGTGGCCCACAGGGAGGCCGGGGAGGTGGAGGTGGGAGTGGAGGGGGCAGATACTGGATGCATTTTGAAGGAAGGGCAGGCAGGCTTTGCTCAGGGTTAGAGGAGGAGCATTAGGAGAGCCATAGAGGCTGCCGAGCGTTTGGTGTGAGTGGTTGGAAGGGCAGGATGCTGAAGTGTAGGTGAGGAGGAGACAGTTTCCCACGGGCTCCTTGGGGAGGCATCAGCTGAGTTCAGGACCAGCTCACCATCTCCCAGGGTGGTTCGCAGCTGGGCATGCACTCCTGGGGCATAGGAAGCAAGTAGGCACCTTTTTCGGAGACAGGAAGTTAGGCAAGGCATACTAGGGGCAGCAGGAGCCCGGCTCTGTCCTGGTCGGGCTCTGCCTGTCTGAGGGGAGGTGTTCAGGGGCAGCTGGAGGCCAGGGCTGCTGTCCTGGGGAGTGAGTAGACTTAGGAGAGGGAAGCCTGGGTCCCACGGCCAGAGGAGCATGGAATAAGGAAGAACAGACAAGGGAGGTTTGGTGGCACTGCTAGTGAGGCAGGGGAGGGCTGGGCCAGGGGCAGTTCATTGATGTGGATGCCTGCTCTGGAGCCAAGCTGGCCAGGGGCAGGGCCCAACTGCCCCTTGGCTAAAATCACACTGCCAGTCTGGGCCCCCTTGGTATAACATGGCACAGCAGCCGCACCTGGCATGTGGGGAGGATTAGATAAGAAGTGGACATGGAACCCTCGGCACAGTGTGACACCCTTTATCAGCCCTCAGTGCACCTGTCACAGGCACGTCTTTGAGGCATGAGGTCTGCCATCACCCCTATTTCATAGCCCAGGAGCCAGGCACTGAGAGGCTCAGGACAGCACCCGGATGCTTTTCTGCTCAAGGCAGTGCCTTCCTGGGGGCCTGCCTTGGGTCCATGGCCACCTGAGGAACAGCCAGGACTGCTCCTATGGCCACAGAGCTGTGCCTGCTGAGACAGCGCAAGCTGTCCCTCCCTGGCTGGGGGAGGTGGAACCTGGGCTCATGTCTGGCAGATGCTCACATCCTATGGGTCTGGTCTCAGGTGAGCCACCACCCCCCCTCAGCTGCGCACTACGTGTTCTCCAAGCATGGCTGGAGCCTCTGGCAGGAGATCACCATCTCCAGCAAGTTCCGGGGAAAATACATCTCCATCATGCCGCTAGGTGAGCTGGGGCCCGGTGCCTTCCTGGGACAGAGACATTCTGCCTAAGAGGGAGGATTCTGGTGATGCAAAAGCCAGCTGGGGGCTTCCAAGGGAGGCATCCCTGTAGGCCTGCCTCTCCAACCCCCAGCCTGGTTCTCAAGACACCAGGCCTAAGGGCAGACTGGCCAGAGCCCTGCATGGGGGGCATGACCTCTGACCTGTCCCCCGCCTCCAGGTGCCATCCACTTAGAATTCCAGGCCAGTGGGAACCACTACGTGTGGAGGAAGAGCACCTCAACTGTGCACAACATCATCGTGGGCAAGCTCTGGATCGACCAGGTCAGGGGCACCCTTGGGGAGGGGGTGCATGGCCCGGGGGCTGGCCGCTGACCACTGCCCTCCTTCGCCAGTCAGGGGACATCGAGATTGTGAACCATAAGACCAATGACCGGTGCCAGCTGAAGTTCCTGCCCTACAGCTACTTCTCCAAAGAGGCAGCCCGGAAGGTAAGCAGGACCAGCCACCTCTGAGCACCCCAGGGGGCCCAGGGCAGAGTGTGCACCTACGCTGGTCCTGCCAATGTCCACAGGTGACAGGAGTGGTGAGTGACAGCCAGGGCAGGGCCCACTATGTGCTGTCCGGCTCGTGGGATGAACAAATGGAGTGCTCCAAGGTTGTGCATAGCAGTCCCAGCAGCCCCAGCTCCGACGGGAAGCAGAAGACAGTGTACCAGACCCTATCAGCCAAGCTGCTGTGGAAGAAGTACCCGCTGCCGTGAGTAGGGCTGGCAGGGGCCCCGCCACAGGCGTAGGACAGGGGTCAAAGGAGAGGGAAGGAGGACAGAAAGCAACTGACAGGCACAGGAGGTCGGGAGGGTTCAGTCCACACATGGGCAGAGAACAATATTATGCAGCCGACATCCCAGTGTGAAGGCAGATACCCAACAGTAAATAAATGTGAAACTATCAAACACTATGCACAGACTTTAAGTGAGGTGATAGGACAGAGCCCCTCCCTGTTACTCCCTACAAGAAATAAAACACATACTTGAAAATAACCATAGGAAATAGAGAACTATAAAATGTGGCATAGGAAAGTCCAAATAAAACAAATAGAAATTTGACACAGAAAAAAAAAAACAAAAAACTGAAATTGAGAACCCTATGGAATGGTTTAGTAGCTAGAATCTATCACCTGAACACAGGTCAGAAGATGTGATAGAACTGAATTTAAAGAGACAAAACCCAGAAAAGACAAGAAGCTACAGGGAGAAGACAGAGTGAGGTCCCTGGAGCAGGCTCCCTGGTCTCCACTGGGAGCTAGTTTGAGTGCAGAGTCTCCCGTCAGACCTCCTGCAATGGAATCTACATTTCTGTAAGCTTGCTCAGCAAGATTGAGAGCAGGGTTTGGCATACTTCTAGCAAGAGTCCCAAAAGGAAAGAGGGACTGTACCTGAAGATAAAATAACAAAGAACTTCCTGCACCTAAATCTATGCAGTGAAACTAAATCAGAGGAAACTATTAAGCAGCCAGATTTTAAAAAGACATCACTTTCCAAGGAGCTGTTCCCTTATCAACAGAAATGGGAGCTTGAAGACAGTCAAGCGATATCTTCCGTGAGCTGAAAGATGCACTGCCAGCCTAGAATTATACACCCAGGGGGACCATCTTTAAAGGATGAAGGTGAAATCAAGGCATTTTCAGGCAAACAAAAAGCTTAGTTTGGCACCAGCAGACCTGCATGAAAGGATATACCTCAGGCAGGAGGAAACTGACCCCAGAGGGAAGATCTGAGACATATGAATGAATAACAGATACTGTGCACCTACATAAATGCTGAACAAACAAGAATAATGTGGGGTATAACATTTTAGAATGCGGCTGCACAGTAAGAAGAGGAATGAAGGGAGGGAAACTGCTCAAAGGCCCCCATGCTGCCCTGGAAGAGGATCAAGATGCACATTCGCTTGACTGTATGAAGTATGTTTAATTGCTATTCCTAGGGTAACCGCTAAAATAATCCATTTAGCTGGAATCCCAGAAGAAGAAGAAAAAAACAACGAAGAGGGAGATATAATGAAGATAAATTTCCCAGAGTAAAAGCAAAGGGATGAAAGACCCTGTACTGAAGTGTGCTCAAGACAAGATATAAAGAAAAATGTTCATCTAGATCATGCGATAGTCAAAATGAAGACCGAAGAAAAATATTCCAATAGCTTCCAGAGAGGAGCAAAAGATTTTAGTCAAGGATAAAGAATCAGACTGACATCAGATTTTTCAACAACCAACATTGGATTAGTATTTTCTAAGTTACAAAATTAGAAAGCAGAATTTTCTATTTAGTCAAAGTATCATTCACATATGGGGCCCTATCCTTTGGCATACAGCCTCAGAAGTTTTACCACACGAAAACCCACAATGAAAACAGTATTGGGCCGGGTGCGGTGGCTCATGCCTGTAATCCCAACACTTTGGGAGGCCGAGGCAAGCGGATCACTTGAGGTTAGGAGTTCAAGACTACCCTGGCCAACATGGTAAAACCCTATCTCTACTAAAAATACAAAAATTAGCCAGGCATGGTGGTGGGCACCTATAATTCCAGCTACTCGAGAGGCTGAGGCATGAGAATCACTTGAACCTAGGAGGCAGAAGTTGCAGTGAGCTGAGATCGTACCACTGCACTCTAGCCTGGGAGAAGAAAAAAACAAACAAACAAACACTGGACATAGTACTTAAAAGGGGGAATGGAGGGAGCAAGGATGTCACAATAGATGAATAAAGGGGTTTTGTTTGCTTTTTCATTGTTTTTTGTTTTGAGATAGAGTCTCATTCTGTCACCCAGGCTAGAGTGCAGTGGCATGATCTTGGCTCACTGCAACCTCTGTCTCCCAGGTTCAAGCAATTCTCCTGCCTCAGTCTCCCGAGTAGCTGAGAGTACAGGGGCATGCTGCTACGCCCGGCTAATTTTTGTATTTTTAGTAAAGACGGGGGTTTCACCATGTTGGCCAGGCTGGTCTTGAACCCTCGACCTCAAGTGATCGGCACACCTCAGCCTCCCAAAGTGCTAGGACTACAGGTGTGAGCCACCACACCCAGCCTAAAAGTTATTTTTAAAATAATTGTTACGATCAAAGAAAAAGAGAAAATATGTCCATAATAATGAAGATTTAAAAGTTTAGATAATGTTAGCATGATGGAATTTGAGGAGAAGGGGAAGAACCTCAGGGAAGAAATGCTAAGTTCTTATTGGAAGGAAGAAACATTTATAAGATTGTTAAAATAGTAAGAGAAAATTATAATGAAGCATTATTAAGGAAGGGAAAGTTGCTATAATAAAGGTTGAGTTCATCAAAAAGATATAATAGTTTTAAACATTATGCATATAATTAAATGCCTCAAAAATATACAAAGCACATATTGATACTTAAGGAAGAAATTGATAAATCCATCACCACAGTGGGAAATTGGGAGGTCAAATGGAAACAACTGAAAACAATCCAGCAAGTATATGGAGATTGAAACAATATAGGCTATACAGACTCATGGATGAAACTCTGAGAACGTATTTTTTTCTCAAGTATACATGGAATGTATGCAAAAATTGATTGTGTACTAAACCCTAATGGAAGCCTCACAGATTTACAGAGAGTAGCATACAGACCACAATCTATAAGACAATTAAGATAGAAGTTACAAACAAACTGATCAAAAAATCCCAAATATTTGGGGAAAAAAATTAAGTTGCTAAATAACAGGCAAAATAAATTAGAATGAAAAAATGCAAAATATGTAGAACTGAATGATATAAAAGATATTTGACCGGGCGTGGTGACTCATGCCTATAATCCCTGTACTTTGGGAAGCCGAGGCGGTTGGGGGTGGGGATCACTTGAGGTCAGGAGTTCAAGACCAGCCTGGCAAACGTGGTGAAACCCTGTTTCTACTAAAAATACAAAAATTAGCCAGGCATGGTGGCATGCGCTTATAATCCCAGCTGCTTAGGAGGCTGAGGTGGGAGAATCGCTTGAACCTGGGAGACAAAGGTAGCAGTGAGCTGAGATCATGCCACTGTACTCTAGGCTGGGCGACAGAGTGAGACTCCATCTCTGGGGAAAAAAAAAAAAAAGACAAAAGATATTTAAACTGGCTGGATGCAACAAAGGCAATGCTTCAAAGGAAATATATTGCCTTAAATCATTTAAATAATGTTGAGGCTTTCTCCTTTCTGAGTTTCAATTCTAATATTAGAGAAAGTTCAACATAGAAATCCAAAGAAAAGAAAAAATACTTTGAAAATAAGAGCAAGAGCAAAAGCCTGTGCAACATAGTAAGACCTCATCGCTACAAAAACAAAAAAAAATGTTTTTTCTTAATTTGCCAGGCATGATGATACATGCCTGTAGTCCCAGATACTCAGGAGGACTGAGGTGGGAGGATCACTTGAGCCCATGAGGTCGAGGCTGCAGTGAGTTGTGAACACACCACTGCACTCCAGCCTGTGTGACAGAGCAAGACCCTGTCTCAAAAAATAATTTTTGGCCGGGTGCAGTGGCTCACGCCTGTAATCCCAGCACTTTAGGAGGCCAAGACGGGCGGATCACCTAAGGTCAGGAGTTTGAGACCAGCCTGACCAACATGGAGAAACCCCGTCTCTACTAAAAATACAAAATTAGCTGTGCATGGTGACGCATGCCTGTAATCCCAGCTACTCAGGAGGCTAAGGCAGGGGAATTACCTGAACCTGGGAGGCGGAGGTTGCAGTGAGCCGAGATCATGCCATTGCACTCCAGCCTGGGCAACAAGAGCAAAACTCTTGTCTCAAAAAAAAAAATAATAATAATAATTTTGGCTAGACATGGTGATTCACGCCTATAATCTCCCGTATTATTCCATTTTCACACTGCTCTAAAGATACCACCAGAGATTGGGTAATTTATAAGGGAGAAAAGGTTTAATTAACTCACAGTTCTGCCTGACTGGCGAGGCCTCAGTAAACTCAATCATGGCATAAGGCGAAGGAGAGGCAAGTACCTTCTTCACAAGGCAGCAATAAAAGAGCAGAGTAGGGGAAATGGCCACTTACAAAACCATCAGCTCTAGTGAGAACTCACTCATTATCAGAAGAATAGCATGAGGGAAACCACCCCCATGGTCCAATCACCTCCCACCAGGTCCCTCCCCTGACATGTGGGGATTACAATTTGAGATGAGATTTGGGTGGGAACACAGCCAAACCCTATCATCCCAGCACTTTGGAAGGCTGCCGTGGGAATATTGCTTCAGTTCAAGAATTTGAGACCAGCCTGGGCAATATGGCAAGATACCATCTTTATATTAATAATAATAAAAGCAGAAATCAATAAAGTCAAAAGTTGATTCTTTGAGGCACAAACTGTTAAAATAGAAAACTACTGACAAGACTGAGCAAGACAGAAATAAATATTAATGAAAAAGATTTAATGTGACATATAAAGTATAAAGACATAATTAAAACTTAGATCAGAGGGACAAATCTTAGAAAAATATAACAAGAACTAACTCCAGCTGGGCACAGTGGCTCATGCCTATAATCCCAGCACTTTGGAAAGCAAAGGCAGTTGGATCGCTTAAGCCCATGAGTTCAAGACCAACCTGGGCAACAGCAAGACCCTGTCTCTACAAAAAAAAAAATTTTTTTAATTAGCCATGTGTGGTGGTACATATCTGTAGTCCCAGCTACTCAGGAGGCTGAGGCAGGAGAGTTACTTGAGCCCAGGAGGTCGAGGCTGCAGTGAGCTGTGACTGCTACTCCATACCAGCCTGGGTGACAAAGCAGACTCTGCCTCAAAAAAAAAAAAAGAAAGAAAAAGAACTGACTCTAGAAGAAATTAAAAACACGAATAGTCCTATAATAAAGTAACTGAAGCAATAGTTTAAAAATTACCATAAAGAAAACACAAGGCCCAGATAATTTTACAGGTTAATTCTCCCAATTTTTTCAGAAACATATTATTCCAATTTTATATAAAGTGTTCCAGATCATAGAAAAAGGAAATATTCACCTCTCCTATACTGTGAGGTCAGGATAACCCTCATACCAAATTAGACTAGACTAGCAGTAGGAAAATAAAAGTTCTACCCGATTTCACTTATATTAATAAATACATAAGCAAAACTCCAAAACAAGATATCAGAAAATCCAATCCAACAGTGTATAAAAAAGATAGCATTCTATAATCAGATCGAATCTATCCTGGGTATACAGAATGATTTTATATTAGAAAATTCATAGAGTAATCTTATTAACAGATTTCAATAGATTCAGAAAAAGCATTTTAGGTGCCTAGATACAAGATTAATATACAAAAGCCAGTTGCACTTCAGCAAACAACTAGAAAAATGCAATTTAAGATAAGACACCAAGGCCGGGCGCAGTGGCTCATGCCTATAATCCCAGGATTTTGGGAAGCCAAGGCAGGCAGATCACCTGAGGTCGGGAGTTTGAGACCAGCCTGACCAACATGGAGAAACCCCATCTCTACTAAAAATACAAAATTAGCCACGCGTGGTGGCACATGCCTGTAATCCCAGCTACTCCGGAGGCTGAGGCAGGAGAATCACTCGAACCCAGGAGGCGAAGGTTGTGGTAAGCCAAGATCACACCATTGCACTCCAGCCTGGGCAACAAGAGCAAAACTCCATCTCAAAACAAAAAAGAAAAAAATACCAATTAACAGCATATAACATCAAGAACCTTGCAATAAATCTTATAATATATTCAAGACCTCTATAGAAAACATTATAAAGCTTTAATAAGAGATACCAAACAAGAGATAAATAAATGGAGAAAGATATAATGTTCATGGATAGGAAGTATTGTAAAGATGTCATGATCTAAAAAATCAGTAAATCAAACAAAACCCCAATAGGGACTCTCATGGAACTTGATATTAGAATTTTTAAACTTATATTGAGGAATAAAGGGCCAAGACATTTCTGAAGAAGACCAAAGAGGACTTACCTACTAGATACCAGGATTTTTATTTTGAAACTCCAGTGGAACAGAATAGTAAGCCCAGAAACAGACCCATGGATATATGTACCTCTGATATATGACAAAGGTGGCATATCAGATCTTGTGGGAACATGGAATGGCTCACCAAATGGATATAGGTAAAAATGATTATCCCTATGGAAAAAGATGCACTTAATCCCTCCCTCACATTATAAAGAAAATCAACTCCAAATAATGGCCTAACAATAATATTAAGTTTGACTTATTGTAAACAATGACTTAATAAGTTTAAAAGGATAAATATCTTTTAGACCCTAAAGAAATATTAAGACACAAGCATTCATATATTTGACCATATTAAAGTACTTTTGTTCATTGAGAACTTTACTCACTAAAAGGCAATTTAAAGAAAGTGAAAAGACGATGCATAAACAAACCTGGAGAAGGTAATCATAATACCTACCTACACTTGACAGAGGATTATTATCAAGAATACAGAGTATTTTATCACAGTTAAAAATAATAATTTTTAAAAGATCACATAAAAAACATTTTTTTGAGATGGAGTCTCACTCTGTCACCCAGCCTGGAGTGCAGTGGTGTGATCTCAACTCACTGCAACCTCTGCCTCCCGGGTTCAAGTGATTCTCCTGCCTCAGCCTCCTGAGGAGCTGGGATTACAAGTGTGCACCACCATGCCTGACTAATTTTTGTATTTTTAGTAGAGACGGGGTTTTGCCATATTGGCCAGGCTGGTCTCAAATTCCTGACCTCAGGTGATCTGCCCACCTCTGCCTCCCAAAGTGCTGGGATTACAGGCAAGAGCCACCATGCCCAGCCCACATATAGAACTTCTAATCAACAAATAATGTAAAAGTAATGGGAAAATGCACAAGAGTCATGAACAAGAATTTTGCAGAAAAAACATATATAGACAGTCACCATATAAAAACCATATATGTTGAAGAAGCCATAGATCTACAATATCTCTGATATATTGCTGCTGGCAACGTAAATTGGCACAACACTCGGGAAAACAGTTTGGCTTTACCTCCTAAAGATGAAAAATCCACCAGGCGTGATGGCTCACGCCTGTAATCCCAGCACTTTGGGAGGCCAAGGCAGGTGGAACACCTGAGGTCAGGAGTTCGAGACCAGCCTGGCCAACTTGGTGAAACCCTGTCTCTACTAAAAATATAAAAATTAGCCAGGCATAGTGGCACACGCCTGTAATCCACATGCTACTCCAAAGGCTGAGGCAGGAAAATTGCTTGAACCTGGGAGGTGGAGGTTGCAGTGATCTGAGATGGCGCCACTGCACTGCACTCCAGCCTGGATGACAACAGTGAAACTCCACCCCCCGCAAAAAAAGATGTACAATCACACAGTCATAACACAGTAATTCTACTTCTAAAAATATACTCAAGAGAAATTCTTGCAAATGTACAACAGGACTTATGCATAAGACTATGCATGAGACTATTCTAAAAAAAACTTGGAAACAACACAAATTATTGAATGAATAACTGTGGTACGTTCATATGAAGGAATATGTACAGTAGCTAAAACTAAACCCTAGTAACATGAAGCAATATAGGTAAATCTTAGCAATATAATAAGAAAAAAAAAAAAGCAGAAGGTGCTGCAGCAGTACTGGTGGCCATGGTTCCCGTAGCCAGAAGGAGTTGCCCACAGAGCCCCCCATACAATATACATAGGAAATCTACCTTTTAATATGGTTCAGGGTGATATAGATGCTATCTTTAAGGATCTAAGCATAAGGAGTATACGGGTAGTCAGAGACAAAGACACAGATAAATTTAAAGAATTCTGCTATATAGAATTCAATGAGGTGGATTCCCTTAAGGAAGCTTTGACATACGATGGTGCACTGTTGGGTAATCGGTCACTTCATGTGGACACTGCAGAAGGCAGAAAACAAGATAAAGGTGGCTCTGGATTCAGAAAAGGTGGCCCAGATGACGAGGATTCAGGGATGACTTCTTAGGAGGCAGGGGAGGTAGTCACCCAGATGACTGGCCAACAGGCCCTGCAATGGGCACCCACGTCAGAGATGGTCCTCCCCTCCACGGATCCAACATGGATTTCAAAGAACCAACAGAGGAGGGAAGAGCACAAAGACCATGACTCCAGCTTAAACCTTGAACGGTTGTGATGCCCCTCAATCAAGTAGCCAATCCCAACTCTGCTATCTTCGGGGGTGCCAAACCCAGAGCGGAATTCGTCCACAAGGAGCAAGAATGAGCCTGCGGTTGGGAGGGAATGGGACTTGGGGGGTTGGAGCAGGACCATAGCCTGGTGAGTCCCTGGGCCGTGTTCCTGCTGCTTCTACTTCCGCACCTGACTGGCCTCCCCACAGTGAAAACACAGCTTGTTGAGTGCATGCCAGCTGTTAACAAGTGGTTTTTAGTACATGGTGGGCTTTGCTGTATCTATGTAGTGCCTGTTTGTGTGTTTTTTTCTTTCTACCACTGCTTCCCTATTTTCCTTCTGTCCTTTTCCTCCCAGCTCCTTGTTTTCCTAGCAGCACATGGGGTTCCCCGGAGGATCGGAGGTGGCTGTGTGGGAGAGTCATTTGGGCTGCGGTGCTGCATCATTTTTCTCCTTGGCTTTCTCTTTTTACCTTAGACACTGGCCTGACTCCAGGCGTTTCCTTTCATTTCTTCAGTGTTTCTCTTCTGACCTGCATGTTGAGTTCTGTATTGCGTTGGCTTCCAACAAAAACCAGAAGTCACTGACAGACTGAACTGCAGTATAGTATTCAGCTGTGATGGACATAGAGAATTGGAGGCACCTTGTTTTCACAACTAGGATAAAAATAGCTGTTAATCCTTGCAAGGTCCTTTCCATTTCTATTGAGAGGGAGCCCTGGCTCCATGACCCCTTCCCAAAGTGGACTGCCCAAAGGGATAGGCTCACATGAGAAACAGTGAGACCTGAAAGTGGAGACTGTGCAATAGTGGTAGGGAGTCCATGAAGAAGATACAGTGAATGTTCGTATGTGTTCACGTGTTTTTGTTCCTGCTCTTTCGAGGTTGTGTCCCAGCTAGTTCACTCTTTTCACCAGACATGGTCGAGGTTCCCCTCTCTGGCCAGCTGCAGTGAATGGCCAGATGGTTTCTTTTCTGCTGGGCCGAGGCACTTTGGGGGTTGGGGGTAGTGCTGGCACTGCACTTGGTTGACTGCAGTGCTGACACAGCGTTTCCCCAAATCCCTGTTGCCTGTGTGTTTGTGTTTATCTGTTCCTAATACAGACAACATAACGAGATACTGTGCTTCCCACCTCCCCTTCAATTCATAGCCAAAATGGTTCTAGAATCTGGTACTTTACTCATTTCCTTTGATAAATGAAATTGTACTATGCAGAGCTGTCAGGAAATTTCAAATAACCGTATAGGACTTTAGCTGTCTAGGTCTGTGGCTGCATCTTGGGGACACACTTGATTGTTCCCATGTGCAGGGTTCAGCACTTACCTGGGAGTGGTAGGGGTTAGGCTTTTGAGCTTGAATGCCTATGTGTGAACAGATTAAAAATGCTTCAGTACCCAAATCCCAGTCTTCCCTTTGAGGAGCAGTTGGGGGATGGCTGGCAGCAAGGTCCTAGGAAAGAGACCCTTGCCGGGTGATGGCAGGGTGGGGCGCCCAGCGGAGTGTGCTTAGTAATTGGTCACCGGCTGTCATCCTTGGCTTCTCCTACTGTGTCTGTGTTACAAGTCCTCAGCAATCCACAGAACTGACTCTCTCCTTCCTTCCACCTGTCAGCTTCTCTGCTTCTGAGATAAGAACCATTTCTGTAACACCAATACTTAAGAAAGACATGCATTATGTGGTGTAATCAAGCCTGATGCTTTCAGATCATCTACTTACATCTTCAATGTGGATAAGATAAAGAAACAAAACAAATGCATCTAAACTTCTGGGCAATCCAGTTGATTTTTAAATGTAAGAATGGAATTCCAAACACAACACATTCAGCTATATGACAGAAAGTAAATCTATGGATATGGTATTTTGTGAAGGATCTTTTCAACAAAAGAAACCCTTACGTAATTTACACACACACACACACACACACACACACACACGGAAAGATGGACTAACTACAACCCAAGTAGAGAAAATATGAACAAGGCCTGCTGGACAGTTACACAACCTTGCACCCAACAACTGTGGCAAATGCGTTCTCTTCAATCACATGGAACGTGTGCAAAAACTGCCCATATACTGGGCCATAAAGCAAATTTCAAAGGACTGAAATTATGCCAAGTATATTGTCTGACTCCAAGGCAATTATGCTAGAAAAAAATGACTAGAAAAATCCCCATGTAGGCTGGGCGTGGTCGCTCATGCCTGCAATCCCAACACTTTAGGAGGCCAAGATGGGCAGACCAATTGAGGTCAGGGGTTCAAGACCAGCCTGGCCAACATGACAAACCCCATCTCTACTAAAAATACAATAAAATTAGCTGGATGTGGTGGTATGCCCTGAAATCCCAGCTACTCAGGAGGCTAAGGCCAGAGAGTTGATTGAACCCAGGAGGCGGAGGCGGAGGTTGCGGTGAGCGGAGATCAGGCCACTTCACTCCAGCCTTGGCCACAAAGTGAGACCCGTCTTTTTTTTTTTTTTTTTTTTTTGAGATGGAGTCTCCAACTGTCGCCCAGGCTGGAGTGCAATGGTGTGATCTCGGCTCACCGCAACCTCTGCCTCCCAGGGTTCAAGCAATTCTCCCGCCTCAGCCTCCTGAGTAGATTACCTGGGATTACAGGTGCCTGCCACCATGCCCGGCTAATTTTTAGTAGAAACGGGATTTCACTCTGTTGGCCAGGCTGGTCTTGAACTTCTGACCTCGTGATCCACGGGCCCCAGCCTCGCAAAGCACTGGGATTACAGGCGTGAGACACTGCGCCCGGTGGAGACCCTGTCTTTAAACAATAAAAATAAAAAGGCCAGGCACTGCAGCCTGGGCAATAAGAGTGAAACTGTCTCAAACAAGAAGAAGAAAAAAAAACATAATAGAAAAGAAGAAAAGCCAGGAAATACTAAGCTAGACAATTCCCAGATGAGTCTAATGTGGCAAAACCGCGGCAGGTTGGCCATGTGAGCATGGGAGGTGTGGGGTGCAGAAAGCAGTTGTTTGCAGCCACTGGGTTCCGCTGGGTGGGCTCACTGGGGTGGGCCCAAGGCCAGAGGGAGTCCTGGAGGCCGGGAGCTGGAGGGTGGGGAGACACCGCCAGGCAGGGGAGGGCGGCCTTGCAGGTGTGGTCCCGCTCACACCTCCGCCACCGCCACTGCCACCGCCACAGGGAGAACGCGGAGAACATGTACTACTTCTCAGAGCTGGCCCTGACCCTCAACGAGCACGAGGAGGGCGTAGCGCCCACCGACAGCCGCCTGCGGCCCGACCAGCGGCTGATGGAGAAGGGCTGCTGGGACGAGGCCAATACCGAGAAGCAGCGGCTGGAAGAGAAGCAGCGCCTGTCGCGGCGCCGGCGGCTGGAGGCCTGCGGGCCCGGCAGCAGCTGCAGCTCGGAGGAAGGTGAGGCCGGTGACGGGAAGGGCGCCCCGCACGGGAGGAAAGGGGTGCCCGGGTGGGGGTTCCGCGGGGACGGATTCCGGGGGAGCATGCCACCTGCCGACCCACCAGCCCACTGTGCCTGCCCAGCAGAGAAGGAGGCGGATGCCTACAAGCCACTGTGGTTTGAGAAGAGGCTGGACCCGCTGACCGGGGAGATGGCCTGTGTGTACAAGGGCGGCTACTGGGAGGCCAAGGAGAAGCAAGACTGGCACATGTGCCCCAACATCTTCTGAGCGCCACCCTTGCAGCAAATACAGGCGCCTGCACAGCCCGGCCCACCTGTTTATTAATGCACTCAATTTAGTACTGAATGGTCTTTCTCCCAGCCCATTCCCAGCCCTTCCTGTTTCCTTTCCTATTTTTTTTTTTCCCACACTTTCTTGAGACTCCCACCTTGGAAGGAGGAAGGGCTGACCTGGGTTCTCTTCAGCCCCCAGGTGCGCCGGGTCACCCGTGCCCCTTCATTATGGACCTGGGCCCTACTGGAACCCCTGCCCCAGTTACCACAACTCAGGCCGGCTGGCCCGGGCCACGGGCTGCGCAAATCACCAGCCCCCAACCCAGGGAGGAACTGGCCCCTCCTAGGGAGCCTCTTCGACTTTTTTAGAAAAATGATCTCCATTTCTTTCCAGCCATGATGTTTAGTAAATATTTTTAGTACCGCAGTTAGCAGACAGCTTTCCAAGTGTGCTTTCTTGCCACAAAAGTGTCCTGGCAAGAGCCCCTTATTTTTAAGACATCAGGAAGCCAGACCCCTTTGAGTTGGGATAATTTTGTAGCTCAACATATCAAGTCCTCGATGGTATCTGAGCTGCCCACACCCCCACCTGCCAGGGCCCCACAGAGCCCAAAACAGAAGGGGGCTGCCCCAGCCCAGCAGAGCACAGAGAGTTTCTCGAGCTCCCACCCACAGATGCGCGAGGGGGTACTGATGGCATCCCCCATGTGGATTTGAGGGCAGCAGTCCCTGGCCTCGCCCTAGCCAGCCCAGGTGGCTCCCTAGCCCCAAGAGGCCAGGAAGGGCTGGAAGGCAGGGCCTGCAGGTGCTCCCCGCCCTGAGACCCAGGCCCCAAATCAGCAATAATGAACAAACCCTTGGCCCAGCCTGGGCTGGTGACCCAGGCACCAGAGACCTTGGATCCCTCCTCATCCTAGGAGGCCCCTAGGGGTGCCCCATCTCAGTGCCCCCTGAACTCTTTATTTGCCTAATTTATATAGAGAGAGATATATAAATATATATAAAATAGCTATTTTGCTTAAATTTCTACAGTATGTAAAAGTGAAAAAATGATGAAGACGGGCACACCTGTCTGAGTTTGGCCCTCATGTCAGCTGTGCCCTTCCCTCTCCTCATGCCCCCTTCCAGCGGCTTCTGCCAACCATGGGGGGCTGGACCACCATGGTCACTGACCCAGCCCCTCAGAATCTCACACTCCAATCCTTTCCATTTCAGTTTAGTCCTAAAAGTTCATCACAGGGTTTTTCTTTCTACTCCAGGACTGGTTTTGTTTTTATATATACATAAAAAAAAAAAAGTGAAAACACCAATGTGTGAAATGCCTTACGATGCCCACTGGAGAGGCGGGGTGGGGTAGGGCAGGACGGCCCCACTGGGGCTCCCACAGAGCTGTGGAATGTACCTCTCCCCAACACTGTTTTGTTAGCAAGCACCTTTTGACCAGTAATAAAAAACCTTGGCTTTGGAGTTTTCCACTGCCCTGTCCCTCAGTCTCTCTGTGTCTGGGTGGAGGGGGCTAACATAGAAGGACAGGTGACAGCCTACAAGGTGGCATGGGGATAGAGCATGGGGTGAAACAGCAGGGGGGTCGGGGAAGAGAGGAGGTAGGAGACCCAGGAAACTGCCCAAAGGGCTGGGGAGAGAGTTGCAGCTCTGTCAAAGGCTGCCCTGATGCTGTGGTCACAGGGCTGACCTGAACCCAGCTCTGCCCTTTGGAAGGGCAGTGTTTCGGAAGGGCAGTGTTTTAGCCTGGTGGAGACCACCAGCATTCCCCTCCCGTGTTTCAGTTCCTGGAGCTGTCTAATGGGAGGCCTTCAGGGGCAAGGCCAGCCCTGGTGAGCTCCGTGTCACTTGACAGCAGCAGCCTGGGTTGCACTTCCAGGTGAGGGATGGGTGGAGCAGGGCACCCCAGGGTCATCAGGGCCAGTGCTCTCACCATCTGCCTCCACACCCTAGCCCTGTGGGATCTGGGGCTGGCCCTGCACAGCTCCTTCCCTGGCTAGGCTTCCCCATCTGTGGGGCGGTGGCCACTAGCCAGGGGGTCCCTGCTGAGGAGCTGGTGGGGCAGGTCTCACTGGAATAGAAGTGAGATGGAACCTCAGGATGCACCTGACCCAGAAGGCAAGGGAGGGGACAAAGGCCAGTCTACTGAGGCAAAGAGAGGGTTCTGAAGAGCTTGAACAGGAAGTGACATCAGGGCAATGTTTTAGAAAGACTACTCTGACCAGCAGGACACAAGATCAACCTACACTCAGTGGTCCCACATACCCCAGCCATCGCTGAGTAGAAAATATAATAGAAAAAAAGATCTACAACATAGGCCATCTGACAAAAATACACAAAACCTGTAAAAGACCTTTATGGATATGACAAAGAGGACCTTAGTTAAGAGGGGAAATACATCTTCATAGATAGGTTCACATTCAGTTATGTTAGTCCCAAACCTACAAATTCAACATGATCCCTATCAAAATCCCACCAATAGTTCAAAAGCTTGACAAGTTGATTGTGAAATTTATATGAGAAAGTAATTGTAAAAAAAAAAAAAAAAAAGCGAAAAGGGGCCAGGTGCAGTGGATCACACCTGTAATCCCAGCACTTTAGGAGGCAGATCACTTGAGGCCAGGAGTTCGAGACCAGCCTGGCCAGCATGGCAAAACCCCATTTCTACTAAAAATACAAAAATTAACCGGGGGTGGTGGTACACACCTGTAATCCCAGCTAGTTGGGAGGCTGAGGCAGAGAATTGCTTGAACCTGAGAGGCAGAGGCTGCAGTGAGCTGAGATCATGCCACTGTATTCCAGCAAGAACTCGGGGGACGATGAGGGGACCATGTGGGCTTGACCTGCAGATGCCCAAACAAGCCAGAAGCCTACTGGGGACACACAGCTTCCTTTTTCTCCACTGCGCTCTGATCACCACCTGGCTGCCATATAGTGTATTTGTTGATGGTCTGCCTCCCTACCCCAATGGACTGTGAGCTTCATGAGAAAAAGAATCTGGTCTTACACATTGTAGCATCCCACTGCCTGGCACGTGGTAAGTGCTCAATGAATAGCTGTCGAAAGAATCAACACCAGGCCAGGAAGACCAGCTAAAGCAAACACTCAGTAGGACAACACCTGAGCAGTGGGGGGCGTGACTGCAGTACCATGTTGGGAGGAGACTCGGAAATGGAACTGGGGAAGAGCCAAGCCCAGGGACCCAGGAAACTCCTGCCTCCCCCAAACTCTGGAGTCCAAATTGCTGCTCCTGACAGACTGTGGGATAGGAGTCAGATTCTGTAAGTGGGGAAGAGAAGGCCTGAGGTTCCCTCATCTCCAGGGACATGGCTCAGCATGAGGGGAGCTGGGAGGAGAGGACAATGGAGAGATACATTTCAAAGTGGAACACAGAACAGGACCAGAGACAAACTCAATGCTATTTAACTTATTGTTTTTATGAAGCTAGCCAGCATACATAACTTCAGCAACAAAACCTGATAAAGACAGTGTGAAAATAAAGGGAATATATAGTTCAGTCTCATGGAAGAAAAGAATTTTCATAAATCCAAACAAGGGAATAGCAAATAGAATCTAGCCACATAGAAAAGACTGAATCTCAGGTTGGTAAGGCCATGCCCAAATTAGGTTTACTGCAGAAATGCAAGAATGGCTCAGTGTTG